TCCTTCCACGACTACGACACGCAAGGTCACGCGTACCTGATTCCATACTCATCGTCCGGCGGCGGCGACGGCGTGCACGCGACCTCCGCGTTCGCGCCCGTGAGGAGGAGCGCGGTCGCTCGGAAGGTGAAGAGGGCGAGGAAGAAGGTTCTTCTCTCGGCGGAGGATGACGGCGGATATCAAGTCGCTTCGTCTGATTATCAGGTCATTTTACGAGATCGAGTTTAAGGGAGTCTTCTGTGTCGCGCGAGGCGGTTTGCGAGATCACAAGGCGTTCCAAATATCTCTATTTAAATCATTTATTAATATTATTAATTATAAATTATTAATATGAAGTGGTGTGCGACGAGTTATCGGTGCCAACATTAAGTTGCCATCGCCCGCGGAATGCATTGAATTTGCGACTTTGATGTCGGACGGCGCGCCTTCCCTTCGTTGTCCGTGACTATCTCGAGAATCTGTTCCCACATTAGATTGGGAAACTGACCGTGGACTTTCTTCCTGATTCTTTTTTTTTTTCCTCGTTTGTCGGGCCAAGGTGAACAGCATTCGAGAAAGGAAGGATCGTATCCAGGACGTGGAAAAAGTTTATGCAAGTTTGGCGCAATGGGTTAATTATTCTACGATTCGTTTATATATAACTGTTCTGAAAGTCGTGCTGATGTAAGAAAGAATGAAACAACATTGCTTTAAGATAGAGATTTTTTGGAACACTCTGAGCATAAAACCTCACGAAAATTTTACAGTTAAAAACGTAATAATCAACCATACGTTTTCATTAAAAAAAAATTTTCACGCAATTGTAAAATTCATAAGGTTTCGTTTAAAAACAAAAACAATACCACCCACAGGAAAGCTACGGCCACCCGTACATCTTCTCGTACGCGGTGAACGACGGCTACGGCAACAATCACGGCCGAACGGAGGAGAGCGACGGGAAGACGGTGAAGGGCTCGTACTCCGTCCTCCTCCCGAACGGACTCAAGCAGACCGTCGCCTACATCGCCGACGAGTACGGGTACAGGGCCGACGTCTCCTATCACCACGCGGACGGTGACGATTCTGATTGAGCTTCATCGTTCCATCGATTCATCGATCGATTGACCGTGTGATCTATTGATTGGTTGACTGGCTGATTGATTTGCAAGTTTATTGGTTGATTCATCAATTGCGTTGATGATCGGTGGTAGCGGTCGCGCCTGCTTCTTCGGTCGCTTTGCAGTTGGATGCATTCACTTTCAAATTTTGTTTTTGGGCTTTCGGGGAATATATACAGTATATATATACATATATACAGGGTGACTCAAAAGTCCTTGAACACCTTCAATCAAGTGTAGCATTCTCTAATGAAGACCAATTTAATTTCTGATTTGACCAGTGCAAAGACCACAAAAAACTAAACCAACCATGTT